AAGGTGATGAGGTTAAACCCCTATGCGTTTGGTGCTAGGGGTGAAACAGGGATGGAGAAACTTTTCAGCCTGAAAAGACAAGCTGAAAGTTTGCAGTAAATTGGACCATTAAGAACTTACCAGGGAATGAGGGCACTGTGCTTTCTTATCAGATTGTGCTTTTCAATCTGTGGGATTTAACAGGAATTTGAAAGGAGAGATGTGCTCAATTTGAAGGAATTTTTGATTAGTTTGAACAAGAGTAAAAAATATTTTAGAGAGTTTTTGTTTTGGTATTAAATTTAAATTTTCACTTATTTTCAAATCCCTGTGTGTTTTGGTAACTCCATTGTCTGCTCCAGTCCTTTTCAGGACCTTCCGAAAGCTGCCACTCATAACTCAAAGAGCATGAGAGTTTGCAGTCTCCTGCCTCTCCTGGTTCATAAGAAATGTGAAATGACTTTAAGGCAAGAGGCTGGTTTATCAACAAAGGGAATTTGTGCAAATTGTGTGTGGTTTTTCACTTTAAAATAGTCACTTTAAGAAAATGCGTGCTCTTTCCAGTGGGGATATCATTGTTGAAAACACAACATTATCCTAGATCTTCTAAAAAATATCTTGGGAGTCTGTTGCTCTTTTTCCTTTGATTGGCAACCCATCCAGAAAGTGAAAGATTTACATTTCAAAGAGAGCAAAGCTAAATATAGGTGTGACTGGTGGAATCCTTGACATTTGGGAATAAGTGTAGAAGATATTTCTAGGATAGTATTTGGGATATACCTAAGGATCTTCACTTGATACTTTAAAGAAATCTGAGTTCTTTATGGCATATTCTTTTAATACTTTCCATATTTCAAAACTTCATATTTGAGGATGGGTGTTCCTGTTTTTAATGCTAAACATTATTTGGCAAGAGAATCATAAATGAGGTCGTTTATTCTGTGTGATGAGAGAGAGAGTAATGAGATCCACTTTCATGTGTGGTACTAATTTAGCTTCGAAGTCAGGTTTTCTGGTGACAACTCATGAATACACAAAGACACGCCTGCCTTTAAAAGTTACAATTTTCCTGGAGTTCACCTAGAAGAAAACTAGAATTGCACTTTTTTTTTTCTCTTTGAAGAAGTTATTGGTCAATGAAAGAATAGCAGTCTCTGTCTCTCTTTCTCTCTCAAAACCGAAAGGGTAGTTATAAAAGGGAGCACCTAATCTGGAAGATGGATATAAATTCAAATCTTGGTTTCTACCCCGTTTCTGCTGTTATCTTACTATCTTTGAGCCTTGGTTCTTCTTTCCCTAAAGTGCATATGATGAAAGCAAACTGTAAGGACACTAAACAAATTAGAGATAATTATATTTAAATCTCTTGAACTGAGTTGACATTGGAATAAGCCACTTTGATTAAATTATTACTCAATGTTTAGTAAATAGAATATTAAAATAATGCATGGAATAACGTTTCTTCAATCTATATCAATTTTAATGCTATAGAACACCATCTTAATATATGGAATTATAAAAATAATGTTTTAAAATTCTATCTATTCAGTTTAAAATAGATATGGATAAAAATTCATACCTGGCTTGGCACCCATGCTCAATGGTTAAGGCACTGGCCACATACACTGGGGCTGGTGGGTTTGAACCTGGCCCAGGCCTGCTAAATAACAATGACAACTATACAAAAAAAAAAAAAAAATAGCCAGGCATTTGTGGAGGGGTGCCTGTAGGTCAGCTACTTGGGAGGCTGAGGCAAGAAAATCACTTAATCCCAAGAATATGAGGTTGCTTTGAGCTGTGACGCTCAAAGGGTGACATAGTGATACTCTGGCTCAAAAAAAAAAAAAATCATACAGAAAGACTTGAACTCTTAACCCTGTGGTTCCCAACCCCCCTGGCTGGTACCAAGCTCTGTCACCTGTCATATCTCCTCCCTATTCCACCTCCTCAGCCCCATCTGTGGAAAAATTGTCTTCCATGAAACTGGAAGTGCCTGGTGCCCAATAGCCTGGGACTGCAATGACCTAACCCACTGCTAAATTTACTTTGTATCACTTGGGTACAAAGTAAGAGAAATGAAAAGGACTACTTGGTGAATGTATCTCATCTCACATCATACTGTGGATTCACTTGCATCAAAAAGATAGTGACGTCAGTAAATGATGTACGAAAGTATCTTGAGAGTTTCCACTAGGTCAGTAAAAGCCAGGTACATAATATCCAAAGTTCCGATATTGAATCCTAAACAGTCACTATTGTGTTCTAGGATGTCACTTAATGTGTTCAGGGATGGATGCAACTTCAGACTAATCACTTATTCAATGCAAAGGTCATAAACAGAATGCCAATAAGAATCCATCAAATCACGGCTCTCGTACACCTCCTGTGAGGGGGGATCCAGTATCTCCAAAGATAGTAAATTCTATTGTGTTAAACTTTTCATTATAGTTGTTTCCTAGCTGAGTAGGAAACTGTTTCCTGGTGACTTTTATAGATTGATCCTCATTCTACCCTTCAGGGACTGATTTGCAAGAGGGAAATTCTCTGTTAAAAAATTTTTTTCTATTAAGCTAATCAGTTCAGAGCATGTTATAAGGAACTCAATATACATTCTTTATCCCTATTTATAATATCCCTATTTATTCTTGTATGAATAAATTTTGTAAGCAAGAAGCCATCACTGTTACTATGGACTTAATATTATTAATAAAAAGAAGTGGATTTCCAAATATTTATCATTGATTTATTCAAAGTTTTTGATAGAAACATATCTTTGATTCAAATGATAATCCATTAACTAATGGCAGGGCAGTAATTTTTTTATCTCCTTGGAAAGTAACAGCCTTGTTGCTTATAAAAGATAAAAGATTTCTGTAAGCTACCTAAGTTCCAAGTTGAACAACCACTTGTGCTTTTGTTTTAAAAGAATCCCTCTCCCCACTCTCCCCTCCACCTCTCTCTCTCCTTCCCTCTCTCTCTCCATCTCTCTCTATATATATACACATAAATATATTTCTCAAATTTTTTTTTCCTTTCTTTCCCTCTCTCAGCACCTCTTTGTCTTTCTGCCTATCTCTACTCATATGTACATACACACAAACATGCACACGTACACACACAAAATATGTCCTAGTATTCTAGAACAATCAGTTTTACTCAAGTAACTCTTTTAACTCACATGCAACAGAAATGTGTGTGGTATGAAGTTCCCATTTTTCTCAGATTTCTCTCAGAAAGAAACACAACTAATGTGACTTCTTACATTTCTTGACAAGGGTATGATTGTTCATTCTTTTTATTCTCATGTCTTATCCCCCAATGTGAATGTAAAGACATAAAACGCATGCACAAAATAAAATTCAAAGCTGAAAATAAATGGTTTATTTATAAAATAAGTAAATTTACAAATCAAATGAGAAATGAAACATACAAAAGTTCATGAATAAAATTAAAAAGATAACCTCAAAATATTAAAACCTATGGAAAGAAAATGGATAATTAACAAGTGGAGTGATGTTTTCATTCCCCAACACAGAGGAGTGATTTTTTATTAGAAGCCTAAGGAATTATCTAAGTTACAATACAGAAAGAATTATAAATTTTATAATCATATAAATTTTATATGATTTTATAATTAGACAATCTATATGTCACAGTTTTATTTTTGTTGTTGTTGTTGTTAACCTGGGTAAAAAGAATCCTCATAGAATTTGTCTAAAACCATTAATTTTTTAAAAATTAGAGACACAATTTGTTCTTGCTTTCTAAATTTTAACTATATTTCCCTATCTCTCTCAAATGTTCTGTGTTAGGTATCTTCTGGAACATAGTTCCCAAACAAAGTCCTCTTAGAATGAGACATCATCTAGATTTGATATGACTTATTTTATAGCATTTGGAAAAGTTAAGTATCAAAGGCAGGAATATAAATTAAAAAAATCAAGGAGATTCTGGGGGCACCCAACAGCATTTGGGATAAATATGGAACCCAAAAGTGCAAAAGAAATGCAATGGCAAGAGAATGGCCCTTGGTAACGAGACTATTCTCTACTTACCTAAAGCTCATGCAAGAATTGATATTCATAGCTTATCTGGAGGAAGAGTCCCTCGTCTTGTAAGTGAAGGGTGAATACGGGTAGTAGTTGTGGTTTGTAAGGAAAAGTATTAATAAGGCCAAAAAAAATCAGATCCCAGAGTGAGTCCATATCATAGCTTCATAGTCAAGAATTCAAAGTGAATCTTTTTTCAATTTAAAATAACCAATAACTCTTATACAGGTAAATGATTTATTATGGACTTTAATACTGATGCAGGACACGTAAATGTAGGAGGTAACTTTAGAATTGCTTATCTTCAACTGGGAAAGGGCCTCCTTAAGTGATGAATTAGTGGGTTTCATAGGATACCCAGACTTCCTGATCAGGATATTTGTTTCCTTTATCACTCAATAGTCCACATACTTGAGCACCAAGATTAACACAGCTTAGTCTTTAAAAGCATGTGCTGGGAATATAGTAGCAAGTCAGTTAATGCCAGATGACTGGCTACTGCGTAGCAGTGACCATGGCAGTGCTGTGCAGGACAGAGTCCCCCGCAACCTAGATCAACAGTACCAGTAGTAAGTTATTTGTACCAACTTCGGGAAAGCAAGAACTAATAACAACTACCACTCTGTGAGCTGTGAATTAACAAATAATATTAATGTACAAAAAAATACTGACCCAAAAGCATTATCATAAAAACATAATTTAAAAACTGGACAATAGTTCCAGTGGTTTGTAATATTGTATGGCTATTTAATGTCATATATGTACACACACACATAGTATATATACACACATACACACACATATATTGTCATATGCATGTGGATATATCTACACACATAAATTGTATGTGTGTTTATACATCCACATACATATAATTTGTGTGTAGATCTACATACACATACATAATACATACATAGATATACACAAAAAATCTACATGTAACATAGATATTTACTATGCTGTAAACTCTGCACTTAGTTTTCCAAGTCTTACGGACAGGAAAATACTATTTAGAACAAAAACAAGTTTCATTGATAGTGACCTTTTCAGACTGACTTATTTGGAGCAAGTGCATTACCTATACTAGAAAGTAAATTACAGGCAATACAACTAATCCTCTCAGAATATTAATATTAACTCTCACGGTCACTAAGTCTAACCTCCCCACTTTGCAACGGAGAGACACAAGCAAGGAGAAATCTCTTTCCTGGCATTCACATTAGCAAGGCTATAATTAAAGGACGAATTGCCAAACACTCTGTCTGTGTCCTTTTCGCAAATCAAAAATTGTCCTTAAGGCATTTTGCCGCTACCTTCCTCTCGATTAGCACCATTAGGAGAAGTTTCCTCTCAGACTGAACCAGATATGGAGCCACTTGCTGCAAACTCTAAATGACTGATGGGAGATAAGGAGATGGAATGAAAAATGTGGGTTGACCTGCAGATAACAGGTAATTTACTACAGTAGAAACAAAAATTATAATGTATTTTTCAAGTTTACAAATAGGACATCAGTTACCTGAGATGGAGGACAAGGGGGCATAGGAGAAGAAAGGCAAGCCCTTGAAATCAATTGTAATCCGTTGGATTGCTTTGTACCATCTTAAGGGAAGGCTAGTCCTGCTGTGGCAGTGAATCGTACAGATGAACGTGCCAAAGAGTTCATTTTCCTCAGCTAAACCTTGGGCCCTGGTTACCGTTTTTAATGGATGAGTGAAATATAGAAGAAAAAGACAACTTTTCACAAAGTCCTAACGACTCTGTCAGCAGATGACTTATCTCAAAGGCATTTTTAAATCCATGAGAAAGGCTGCTCCATATGTTAAGATTTTCTTTCTTTCTTTTTTTTTTTTTTTTAAAGAGAGAGATATAAGAACAGGGATGGATGCTGCAGAAGGGGAAATGTACATTAACCAAATGTTTGCCTGCAAAGAACAGAGTGACATCAGAGACTGGTGACCAAGTGTTGATAGTAACATTCTAATCTTAGTCTCGCCTGAAGGAAGAGAATAGCCGGCCAGTCACTCTCAATTCATCCCTATGAGGAGGCCCAGGCAATTATTTTCTGCCTATGAAACCATGAATTGGAAATGATGAATGGGAAGACCCTTCCTGGAGCACCTCTTGTTTGTTTGAACCCATTTCCTTGTCCCTTTCATACATTTTTCAAGGAGGAATAGGAGAGACCCTGCTCGTCACTGCTAGACCACCTGGGACTTTTCTTCACTGGCATGGCCACCTGCAACTGCTTCCAGAACCTGCCCTGTGGATACTTGGATTTTTCCCCTTTCCATTTAATGACCGTGAGCACCGTCTTAGCCCGCTTCAGCTCTTTCACCTTCGTCTCCTTCACAGCTTTGTACTGTACTAAAATGACGTTGATGTTGCCCCGAGAGGCCATGTTTTCTAGGCCAGCCTTGAGCTCCAGGAGGGCCTGGGTTCCCTGGAGCACGTAGTTGGGACTTAGGACAACCAGGAGGCGTCTGCTTTTCTGAATGAAGCTCAAGGTCTCATCTGTGACAACTGGGAGAGAAAACAACCACGGGGATTAGTGTTGGCCAAAACTTCCCCCCAAAGCACGGGATCTGAGGAGCAAAGGTAGGGAACTTAGGGTAACGGCCTGAGAATGGAAGTGAAACTTTTTACCAGCAACATTTTGAACAACTTAATCCTTAAACCTAAAGCACTCTCATTCATCAATGCCACTGTACTCAAGGAAAATGAAAAGTATATAAAAACATTCCACCCTAGAAAGAATTCCAAACAGGTGTGAAGCCAAAAAGTGAGTTGTGTCCTGTTTTGACTTTGGTCTTCAAATGCATTCCTTGGGACACAAAGAATCGATGCACTGCACTGAAATATGTTCCTTCAACCTGTGTGGCACGTTTAGATCTTGACAAATCTGCTCTCGAGCTCTTTCTCCTCGGAGATACTCACGTATAAGCGCTCTAGCAATAACGGACATTCAAGAAGATATAAATTACAGAATCAAAATCATAGAATTGTACTTCTCATCAACACAGGACAACAAGAATAGGAAGGCTCATTTTTTTGAAAGGCCCTCTCTATTGTTGGAGATCCGTGTGACTCAGACTGATATCACTAAGTTGTTGGAATAGAATCTTTAAAAAAATCTAGCCAATTGAATGACATTTTGGCTGGCAGTACATTCTAAGCTCAGCTTTCTCCTTCTTTCCTCTCTGGAGCCTAAATTAGTCTCTGGATCTTTCTCTTTAAACTCCCATCATTACTGTGGAGCCATGTGTTTCGGCAGCTGCTAGGTGATGTGCCTTCCTTCACTAACAGGCAAATGCTTTCTTTATGGAAAAAAAGACACAGCATGGGGAAGGGGAAAGCCATGTAATTTTTATTCTGCTATCAAGAGTTTTGATTTGTTCTTGTCACTAAATTCTTGGGACCAATCTATCTCTTCACAGTGGCATATCAAGAACTGCATAATTCTTTACCTGGGGTTCAGATAGTTGTCACCTCCAGGTAATGTACTCATGTTTGGAAACCTGTATCATGGCTTACTATACTCCCCCAAGCATTCATTCTGCCCCTTGATCTTCACAGGTCCAGAAGGAGTAAGGAAAGCCTTGCAATTAACGTCTATCATGTGTAGCCTGGAGGAGAATCCGGGAATAATTATCTGTCTGCTCCAAGCAATGGAACTTGAGGTTGAGCATGTGTGAGTGTGGAAACAGCCCCAGCGTCAGAGAATTAGTTAAGAGCGGCAGGGAGGATACAAAAAGATGCAGAGGACAACCACCAAAAGTAAGATGCAAGAATAATTATGTAGAGCTTGAATTCTCCAAAGAACTACCAACTCTACTGGAGGGTCTTACCCAGTTATATATTGTATATCTTTATATAACTTTTCACACAGTAGGTAAGTATCTATAGAATGGCTGTATGAATGAATAAATGGATGAATAAATGATTTGAGAAAAGTGAGTATAAAAATAAGTGGAATTTATCCTTTAACCATGTAGTTAAGTCATTAATGACAATGTTATGCTGAAAAGGTATCTTCTGCAGATCACAAGAATGATGGGCTTTTGGATGATGACTGGGGAAATAAAATACCTGATCTCAGCTAATTCAGAATGGGAATAAAATATTGTCTACTCTCTATCTCAATTATCCATGCAATGTTTCAAAAAATGTTAAATTATCAATGTCAATAAGATTTTGGAGGAAGAAAATTAGGTTTTCAAGCTTAGCATTAGAGATATTATACACATTTCCACAGTGTAACGTTAACTGTGGGGACTGTAATGTTACTTGTGTGTTTATTAAAAAAGACTCAAAGGGATCATTACTTAGTTTCACTGTATAGACTAAAATATATTTTCTTTTATTTTAACACATATAGCAACTAAAGATTTTCTCTTTTCTAACCTATTAAAATATGCTGGCTTTTATAAAATTTTAAAATAAATATCAAGTGTGTAAATTAATAGAAAAGGGAAGAAACAGATCCCTGGAGAGGGATTTGAGTAGTGCTATGGTCCATAACACTGAGAGTGAGAAAAAGGAAAGGAGTGAATGCTGAAGGGATGTGTGCTAATTATTATCAGTTAGTAACGTAAGGAAAAGTGTTCTCTCTTCCACAACACAGTTTTAGTAAAACTAAGGAAATCTTAATCTTTTTCTAAAAAAAAGTTTTTAAAAATATTCATTCTTATAAAGAAAATACTCTAGACAAACCAATGCAGACCTGCCTAAATCTTCTGAAACTCTTAATGCGAGTAAATGTGATGTTTAAAGCTGTGCCACTTTAATGGAGGTATAATCCACGGTGCGCCCACACTTTTCTTCCATGCAGCTCTTAAAGGCAGGTGGATTGACAGAGCTTTGGACTTTGAAATCAGCCTGAGTGAGAGCGAGATCCCCAACTCCACTAAAAATAGAAAAACTAGCTGGGTATGATGGCCCATGGCTAGCTGTAGTCCTAGCTACTCAGGAGGCGAAGGCAAGAGGATTGCTTAAGCCCAAAATTTTGAGGTTGCTGAGCTAAGATGCCATGGCATTCTACTGAGGGTGACAAAATAAGACTCTGTCTCAAAAAAAAAAAAAGAAAGAAAGAAAGAAAAGAAAAAGAAAATGAAAAAGATTACAAGGGAAATATTTTAATACTCTAAAATGAGTTGCCCAGTACAAATCTTATAATGCACTTTTATTCCTAGAGAAATCTCTCTCCTGGGCCATTGAATATCCCAGGATGCCAATGTAGAGCTGGGCCATGACTCTCACACAGGACCCAAACCTAAGGACCCCATTTGCCTTTCAGGGTAGCAACATTTGTACTCATCTGAAATACCTACTTCCCCCAGGCAGACTGTCTCGGTCAAAGATGCACAGCTTGTAACCAAATTCATTCTCCAAAACTCCACGGAGGGTCAGTAATACAAATTCCTCTTCCTCGGCATTCCTTGCATAGGATACATAAATATCATACTCCTTCCCATCTAGCAAAAGGAACACAGAACCAACATAAACTATGAAGACTTCTTAGTAGTATCACATTTTTTCTTAAATAAAATTTCTGCATATTAGACATTCTTATTACGTGACAGATTCCAGGGTGATTACTTTGCTTGTAACAGTTCTTCAAGCAAAATGCCTCTTTGAAGGTGCAATTTCAAATTTCATCTGATATGTCTTCTTATCTCACTGAGTTGACTCTTTATAGTGGAGAAATAGTGAGGTTTGGCCCATTCAGCAGTGAATTAACAGAAGCAGAATATACATCCTAAGTACTGGCAATTAACACCATGCAGCAAATGTCTACTTCCTACACTAATATATCACTTACCAAGTGATAATTAATTCTTCCTACACTAATATATCACTTACCAAATAATAATAAAATATTAATTGAATAAAACTTTGTGAAACTGCTTGGATTATTTATACTTGAAAGGAACTATAATTAAAAATATACTTAGATTCAATGGAACAAACTTTCCTACTGTTGCCTAACTATAAAAGTTGCCTCTCCTTAAAAATATAGATTCTGTGTCTCTTCATAAGCCTACTGAATCTTTAGGGGGCTGGACCTAAGATCTGTATGTTTAATTGTTCCATCCTTTCAGGCAAATTTCACTAGAGCATGGCTTCTTAATCTTTAATGTGCATGTGAGTCACTTGGAAATGTTGTTTCAAGGTAGATTCTGATTCAGTAGGGGGTAGGTCTAAGATTCTTCTGATAGACACCCAGGCATTGCCGATGCTGCTGGTTCGTGGATCACCCTTTGAGTACAGAGAGTGTGGACCCGCACTGTTCTGTTTGGTACAGCAAACACAAACCACATGTGTCTTTTGAGCCCTGGAATCGCAGCTGCTCTGAGTTGACATGTGTTGGAAGGGTAAAATACAATACATTTTGAATTTTGAAGAATATTAGTACTAAACAAGACTTTAAAAGATCTCATAAACTTTTTAATATTAATTACCCACTAAAATGATAGTAATACGAAACTATTATTTTTACTTAACCTTTTTAATTTTTGTAATGTGGCCACTAGAAAAATTTAAGTTAAAAAAGTAGCTTGCATTATACTTCTCCCTGCCAGTGCTAATTCAGACAAAATAACATACTAATCTAAGAGAATAATACACATTGGACAGGTTTTCAACGCTGAGGGCTGAAATAACAAGGTAATCTCCTTAAACCTCCCAGTTAATCGATGTTTTATCAAATCAGCATGTTTTCTCTTCCGTTTTCCTTAACCTGTTTTCTAAAGATGACAGTGGAAGGGGTTTACATTCAATTTCTGTTACTTACCTAAAATGGTTTCATCTGTTCCGAAATGAGCCCGGTAAAATAGGACCATCTCCAGCCAGTAAACATGGTAAACAATGATGAGAATCACCACTAGCAGGACCGTGGCTCCAAAACCACACGCCAGTTCCACTGTGTATCTTGGAGCAACCACTGGAGTGAACAACAAAGGAACAGAATTGATTTCTATGCGATGAACACAGCGACTTTTCCTCCTGCACACAGATGCATAGGCCAAGCAGCTTTGCCATGCACTTGACTTACACGTGTGAACAAGCAGAGATAACACTGTCGACTTTCGGCGCTGTTTTTCAAAGGCTAGACTGTGTCCTATTTATCTTTGTTTCTAGCCCCTAGCAAAGAAGATGTTTGTTTTATTTTAATGATTTTTGATGATATACAAATTAAATAGAATCTTCGTTTGGGAAGGATTTAGAAGGTTATCTAATTCAGGTCACAATTTGATACCTGAATCTCATCAAAAATATTTCGGGAAAGTGTCATTCCATCCTCTATCTGCATCTAGGAAGAATCCTCCCTGCGCCCTGGAGAAGTCCATGGTATTGGGAGAATTTTAACTGTTGGTATAGCTGATTTGACTAAAAATCTAGACATGTTCTCTTTAGTTTTAGTTTTATTCTCTTGTGTAGTGTCAAAAGAATTTAATCCCCTTTCCTGTGTATTTGGAAATAGATCTTAAGAATCTTCTTTTCATTGGGCAGAAACAGAAGGCGTCTACCGAGTGCTGAGGATGCTGGGTTTGGAAGTATCTCTTCTGTCTACAATTCTAAGGTACACATTCCAAAGACTGACTTGCAATATCTAGGTGTGGTCAGATTTCTACTTTATCTGCTAATCGTTTAGATCATAGGCAGCTTAGCTGTGCGGCTCAGCAGTTTCTTTGGAATGATCAGAAATATACATTTCTCCTAGGAAATCTAAGAAATTTTAGGTATTCTTAATTGCCTAAAAAAAAAAAAAAAACACTATTTTTTTCTTTCTTTCTTTCTTTTTTTTTGAGACAGAGTCTCACTTTGCCACCCTCACTGTGTCCTGTCCTTGGTATTTCTGAGCACATATTGTGTTAGCAGCTTACTGGGGTAATTCGTACTGTCATTCTCATTATTTTGCTCTCGATAGACATTTTATAATGGGGAGGTGGTCACTGGCTGTGCTTACCCAAAATGGATTTTTTTTTTTTTAAAAAGAGATCTTGCTTAATGACCAAGACACCAATTATGCTCATAAGTTGACCTCTCCACATTTATTTTACTACTGTCCATATTAATTCCAAATAGGGTTTCATAATTCTGTTTTGTGCCAGCCAGTGACATGTGTCATATTTACAAAGTGTATTTTGTGTAGCCATCTTGATAACAAGGAGTTCTAACGCTACTTAACTAAATGAATTCTCAAGATAAATAATCTTCCAGTCTGATTTTCTAAATGGATAGAGTCACATTCAGGAAGCGCTCTACCAGGTTGTCATGTAAAGCAGTCAGCACTGGCTTACCGAGAAATAGTGACCCAGGACTAAACTTTTTGTCTGCTGAGCTGGAATTAATGGCATTTTGGCATAAAGATTTTACTCTGATGCAATCCCAGACCAAAGGGCTTCTAATCAGGAAGGGGAGATGTGATTTGAATAAATTGAACTCCTGAACTTCTCTCGTTGATTTCACTAGTAATCTGATTCAAGATATAGGCAAAGTTCACTATTTGCTTGCTTTTATCCCCTAAATCAGATTTGTTTCCATCCCTTTTGCAGTTCTAGGGTAATAACTGGCCCCAAAGTCCAAATTTCCAGCTAACCACTCTCAGTTAAAACGGCTCAACACCTCAGCACTAGTCATTTTCCCTGTTCCAAATTCTTGTTCTACAATCACATTTCTCCTGGAAATCTAAGAATTTTCCCTCATCCTTATTACACTTAGAGTCTTGCCTTCCAAATGCTAAGACTTTCAAGTCTCTCTGCCAAAGAGCCCATGGCTACTCTGTGCTAAATTGTTGGGACTTTTTGATAATTTTTGGGACTGTGGTAACAGCCAATTCCCTGAATTGCAAACAAAGAGAATGCTTTATTTAAATGATGGTAAACCAGAGATGTATGATTGATCTTCAGACTTGATGGGTTTCACTATTATCGTGTGTTAACACTCCAGCTTCTGTTTTTAGAGGAGTACTGGAGAGGAGAGTAGCTTTTTCTCCATATCTGAAATAAAAGTTTTTCAAACTTGGACAAATGACAGCATGGGAAGGTGATCTATGATAGAAAGGACAAACAATCACTCTGGATTTCTGACTGAAATCACTTTTTATATTGCAAAACAGAAAAGGGAAAGCCAAAGAAGATAGTGTGTGCACTGAGCTAAGGAGACAGAAATTAGAGTGTAAAACAGTAGAATTGGATGGAATGTATAAGCCTGGGTACCTGAGAGAAGAGAACTGTGTAATAAAGAACTCTAGAAATCTGCATGGGTACCTCATGTCTTTGGCCAAATACACAAATATCACACATGTACATACTGAATGTGACAGTTTACAAGGTCAGGCAACTGGGAATGGAACAGCTTTAGGAGCACATGCAGGGCTAGGAGTTGGTTGAGTTCAGGACACTCAAATAGGGAAAAGACTTTGTTTAGCTTCCCAAGTATTAAGCAGAGACCTGAGGTAGGACATAGCTTAGAAGCAGGTCCAAGCTAGTTCTACAGAGAAGGCTAATACATCTACTGTAACAAAGATGAATATAGGCTTCCAAAAAAAAAAAAAAAAAAAAAAACAACACCACAAAAAGCAAGCTGCTATGAGAGTAAATTTACTACCTGCTGGACCACAAGTCTACACATACATTTAATATTGTTCAGCACATGATTTAAAAAATGATGCATAGTCAGAGGAAAAATCAGCCAATATAAACAGAATCAGAAATTACAAAGATAATGGAATTGTCCAACAAGCACTTCACAGTGAGTATTATAAATGTGTTTGTTGAATTAAAAAAACAGGAACACAAACATTGTGAACATCAACTAGAAAATATTATTAGAGACATTTCAATGGAGAAATGAAAATTCAAAAACTGAAAAACAGGATTCTGAAACTAAAAACGCTACAGATTAGACATCACAAAGGAAATGATTGTCGGGAGCCAAATGACGCCAGATGGCCGCCCATCCCCACTGTCTGGAGTATGCTAACCTTTATCAGATAAGGAGCTGCTTTTCCCTTATCAGACAAGGAGCTGTTCTTCCAAGAGAAGCCATAAAATGTTTCAGACACATCGTTTACATTCCCAGCAGGAGATTGATGCAAGCTCTAACTCCTGCATTCCTCTGCCCCCCACCTCTTGTCTTCTCTGAATGCTATAAAAACTGATCTGTTACCTCCATTAAATGAGACCTTGACAAATCTGCTTGGTCTCGCTTCCTCTTTCTTTCGCCTATTCTCTTTACAGGCTGGGTCCCCCTCGCCCCCCGAATAACCGTGTCCCGCAGGACGGGACAAATGATCAGTGAACACTAAATAGTACACAGAGGGTAAAAGGATGAGGAAAAATGATAAGGGCCTCAGCGCCCTGCAAAGGAACACCAGGGGGTTGACCCTAAATTTAACTGGAGACTTAAGAAGAGGAAAGAGTGAAGGAAGAAGCGGACATGCTTGAAGAAATAATGGCTGAAAAACTTTCAAATTAAATGAAAAAAAATAAATACAGGTTCCCCAAATTAATGAAGCCCAAATAAAATGCCATACAAATAGATGCCACCAAAGGATACCACAATTTACATGTTCAAAGTCAATGAAGACGTGAAAATCTTAAATCTGCCAGAGAAGGAGCTGAGACACACATGAAAGCCATGATAATAAACCAAAACAACAACAAAAAAACTGACTAATTTTCATTGTAATTAGTTGAGAGTAAATGCAATGGCATCTTTAAAGGGATGAACAAAAAAGAAAATGAAACTTTCAACTTAGCCAGTAAAAATATTGACAAAGGCACCAGTGCAACCCAGCAAGGAAATGAAAATATTTCCAATAAACTATGCTGGAATAACTGGATTTCAATATGAAAAGAATTTAAACTTCAACTTCTACTTCACACCATTCATTAAAATAAAAATTAAAGATAAATTATAGACCTAAACAAAAGGAGAATCCTAATGACTAGGGATAGGCAATGTTTTCTTAGGACACAAAGTAATAACCATTAAAGAAATGTTAATGGGCGGTGCCTGTGGCTCAAAGGAGTAAGGCACCGGCCCCATATGCCAGAGGTGGTGGGTTCAAACCCAGCCCCAGCCAAAAAAAAAAAGAAAAAGAAAAAAGAAATGTTAATAAATGACACCTCATCAAAAAAAAGGACTTGTGCCCATTAGAATATACCATTAAAATATACCAAGTTGCCAAGGAGCACACAGGGAAAAAGTATTTGCAAACACGTATCTGACAAAGGACTGGTATTCAGGAAAGATAAGGAATTCTTAAGTTTGGATAATAAAAATACAATCAACCTAATCATAAATGAATAAAATATTTAGTCATACACACACACACACATATACACAAATCCACACAGACAGTCAATAAGCATGAAAGAATGCTCAGTATGAAACTAATTATATTCCAGGCTCGGTGCCTGTAGCTCAGTGGCCAGGGTGCCAGCCACATACTGGCATTCAGGGGCTGGCTTGAATCCAGCCTGGGCCAACCAAACAATGACAATTACAACAAAAATATAGCCAGGAATTGTGGTGGGCACCCATAGTCCCAGCTAGTTGGGAGTCTGAGGCAAGAGAATCGCTTAAGCCCAAGAGTTTGAGGTTACTGTGAGCTGTGATGCCATAGCACTCTACCCAGGGCGACAGCTTGAGACTCCGTCTCAAAAACAAAGCAAAACAAACAAACAAACAAAAATAAATAAGCTAATTATACTCCATATAAAGCTAATTACTGGCTTAGTTTTATCGGTTTATCTTAGTTTTGATAAAACGAACCCAGTAACTCCACTCACAGGCATTCATCTTCAAGAAGTGTAAGTCCACAGGGAGACTTGGATAAAAATGTGGACAGAAGCTTTATTCAAAAGACTTCCAAACTATAAACAGCCAAAGGCCTACTACCCAGAGAAGAAATAAACAAATTGTGATACATTA